ATTCAACTTGACAAACTATAAGTTAATAAAGCTTGAAGTACTCCCTGTATCGATTAGACAACATGCTTTGAAACCAATTACATTAGCTTCAACTAAAGAATCATTTAGTAGCGAGGTATTGGCTGCAATTGCAAGTAAGGCGGCAGATGTTCCAGAATCCTTTTGATTTGTTTTAAGATTCTGGGCTATGCTTGCTTTACACACTTTTACTTAGTGGCCCACCTTTCTACATTTTCCACACATTGCTTCTCGTGCAGGACAACGATCTCTGGAATGTTGGTCGAATCTACAATAATAAAATTTCTCAGTAACCTTTTTGACAGCTGAAACCATTTCTACAGTCTCTCCTTCGCCCGACTTTGAGTGAGAATCACACTGACATTTCTGTTGTGTCTCAGTTACTGTGCAAGTTTGCATTCTGTATTCAATTTGTTTAAAATTATAAACTTTAGCTTGGGCTATGCCGAGTGCTCTTGACTGCTAACTGTGTCAGTTAAGTCTAATGTTTTGTTTTCAAATAATCGCTGTTGTATATACGATGAAGATAAGCCATTTATAAAGGAAATTATAAAGTACATAGTGTTCCCCGTACTGTGTTGCGTTCACTGCATCAAACACGCATTCTTGGCTTAAAAGTTTGAGTTCAGTTACATAGTGATCGATGCTCTCTCCTCGCTGTTGTCTTCTTGTCATTAGCAAATATCATGAAAATATTTCATTTTTCTGTTTTAAACCAATTGAATTCAGGTGTTTTAATAGAATCTTCATAATGTCTCTACCTCTTTTAAGTATCTAAAACCTTTGTAAGATATGACTATTATTCAACACATTCAGTTTATCTTTCGTATCAGATCAGTGATTTCTATCATGGTTAGAAAATCTTGTAATGTGTGTACTCAATGCATCCATTCTTCATTTGCAGTTGGAGATTCATGATCAACCTCAAATTTTTCTAGTTTAAGTAAATTAATCTTCTCTATACTAAAATGTAGCACTAGTTAAATTTAAAATTGTTGTAAATAAAGACAAGAGTAACGAAAATTTTGTTTTTTTTTTGTCTTCTTCTATATTAAATACAAAATCCAATGTATGTTTGTTTGTTTGTTTGTTTGTCCTTCATGGACTCCGAAACCGCTCGACAAATTGTAATGAAACTTTCAGGCATTATTAAGCATTATTCAAGGATGGTTTTTGTGAAGTTTGGTGCAGATCAGTCAAAAGGGTTCCGCCCCAGTGGCTCTGGAGTTTCCCATGTTAACCTTATGAGTACTCATATTTAAATGGAATTAAAGAATCTTAACAACTGGTTCAACTAAACAATTTGATTCTGTGATGTTCAATAGCAATAAAAAGTTAATAGGTTTACCAACAGGGAGCAGCACTATTATTTTTTTTTATTTATGACAACAGCTAATTTGCAACCAAAAGGTGAGTGAGCATAGCGAACGAACTTCAACCTGGAGGCGAGTTAGCATAGCGAACGAGCTAAAGGTGCATTGTCCCTGAAGCGACTCTTGCGATAGTAGCTGAGCGATAGTAGCTCAGCGATAGTAGCTGAGCACTGGTTAGCGTTGTTTCAAATGGGACCATTGTCCTTGATGCGACTGCGACTGGAGCGGCTAGCGGCTGAACACAGCGACTGTAGCGGGTCTGCTCTGAGGGGAGTCAGAGTCGCAGTCGCTGAGCGATTTGTGTTGTGTATAGACTTGTTTTGGTCGTATTATAAATTATAAATGAAAATACTTTTAAAAAAATGCAACGTTTTTAAACGCACTATAAAGTAAAAAAATAATTTATAAATATGTGGGGAGAATAAATACTTAGGATTAAAAGGATTAAAAAAACGTGGGGCGCATGCTGATTTACAATTATCTTTACCTATTGAACTATTATTATCTATAGCATGTACCCCACGTTTTTCGTTTTAAATCTTTTAAGTATTTATTCCCTCCACATATTTATAAATTATTTTTACTTTTTAGTGCGTTTAAAAACGTGGCATTAAAAAAAGTATTTTTATTTATAGTTTATTTTCTACTTTTCAGTCTTTAATGTGTAAATATGTTAAATCTATTTTATATGGCCTGGTAATACATGCCAACCCCTTATTATCTGTAGTCATGTGTTTTATATCTCCTTTGAACTGCTTATTTTATATTTAGAATCTCTCGGCAGCAGAACCTGTACCTCTACCCAAGCTTTTTGACCTGTCAAATTTAAATATTTACGGCTGACTTCAAAATGTTAACATGGAAAATTTGGAAGCCCATGGGGCTTAGCCAAAGGAAATATGAAAATTAAATAATATAGTCTTACATTGTCATCCATTTGTGAGCTGTTTTCTCTAGTTTCATTTCTCTAGCTCGTCGGGAAGTTAGTTTAAAATTTATTGCAAAGTTTGTACCGGACAAGAAAGCGAGCTAATAAAAACGTTTTAAAATTAGGAGGTGTCATGGCACTATAACACCAATTTACTCGAAAGTCAGCAAACTAATATACAGAATCGTCTAGAACAATCGCTTCAGGGACAATGACATGGTTAGCTACTATCGCTGAGCTACTATCGCTCAGCTACTGTCGCTCAGCTACTATCGCAAGAGTCGCTTCAGGGACAATGCACCTTAACCTGAAGGCAAGAGAGCGCAGCGAACAAGCTCCAATCTAAAGGTGAGTGAGCGTAGCGAACGAACTTCAAACAGGACGAGGACAGGATTGAGCCATGCGAACGAGCTCATCTTGAAAATTAACGAGCGTTTGACATAAAACCACATTAGGAAAGGACGACGTCTGTCGGGCCAGCTAGTTCATTATAAAAATCAGCCATACTGTTGTTGACAAACACTTGAAAATATAAATATACCAAATTTAAAAAAATTAATTACCAGACACATGACAATAACATATGATTGAACAGGCTTTAAACTTTAAATATCAGAGAGAGATAGCTCAAATTCAAGCTCTTCCTCAGTTGTTTTTTTTGTCTTGACTTCTGACATCAAAGGAAAATCAAAAAGATTATTTCTTAAGTGAGCCAAAACATAGTTTCATAGAGAGATCTCTTCATAACACTGAGATAACTGTTGTTCTTTTAATTTTACTGAACATAGATAAAATGTGTATCACTACAGTGCAGCAACAACAACAAATAATTAGTGCATGTATGTTCATCGCCAACAATGTAGATGATGGATGTCTGAATCTGCATGCCTGAACTGTGAGAACGATATTTCAGCAATTGCGCAAACTATAAATACCCATACAACGTGACGTGAACAATCACTTTTGCTCACATCTTGTTGTGGGTATTTTGGTTTATCTTTAACTTCAGCTTATAAGTAAATCAGTTTTACCTCAATCCGTTTGGGGCAGTTCACTTCGGTCAATGTCCCAATAAAATGACCACTCAAGGATGTAAGTATTACACACAGTTCACTTTGCAAAGTAAAATGAACTTGACATATACAAGAAAGTTAGTTACAAATGTCAAAACCACAGTGAAAAATTATACAATCAAGTGGCCAGTAACATTTCATAAAGTGTCCGTGCTATGTAAAAAGTCTAAGAAAAGAATATGACGTACACTCTTATTTTGCTCAAATGCAAAATACCCCCAACGTAGCAAACATGCAGATTTCATCAAAATCTGATGATTTTGGCTCCAGTTACCTTGCTAACGGAACACATATACATTTATATTTATATATATATGCAGTGTTCGATTTGCGGGGGAACACGGCGGAACAGAGTCCCGGTACCTCTCTTTTGGATAAAAATGTTGACGTAAATAGGTAATAACCACATTAAATATGTTACAGTTACGGCACCTAATTTTTTACAAATCAAGCATTGTATACAGGGTGATCAACTCAAGGAGGCCACCATTGGGATATCAGAAACGGTAAGAATTAGAGAACACTTTAAATAGGGGACATTCCCTCTTTTTTGGTGACCATTAAATATATGAATTTAGTTTTTTGAAATTCAGCCGCCATTTTCCAATATGGCGGCCAACTTTGAAATTTCTTACGGAACACCCTATATTTGATCATGTTTTCGGATAAAACATGCAATTTAAACACTTTTTTAATTTGGAATATTTTTCATAAACCCACTCGTTTAGGAGTTACAGCCTATGAAAAGATCCGGTGTACATGTTGCATCATGTAGCTCCTAAGCGAGTAGGTTTATAGCGAAAATGCAAATGTAAATAAGTCTTAAAACTGCAACTACATTCCAAAAAGACCATGAAATGCCATAATATACACAGTTTTCCACTTTTAAAGTTTGCTGCCATTTTGGAAATAATAGAATAAATATTTTTTACGTATTTTATGGTCTTTTTGGAATGTAGGTGCAATTTTAAGACTTACCGGTATTTATATTTGCATTTTCGCTATAAACCTACTCGCTTAGGAGCTACATGATGCAACATGAGTACACCGGAAGTCATCTTTTCATAGGCTGTAACTCCTAAACGGGTGGGTTTATGAAAAAAAATTCCTAAAATAAAAAGTTTTTAAATTGCATGTTCTCTTCGAAAACATGATCAAATATAGGGTTTTCCGTAAGAAATTTCAAAATTGGCCGCCAAATTGGAAAATGGCGGCTGAATTTCAAAAAACTAAATTCTTATTTTTAATTGTCACCAAAAATAAGGGAATGTCCCCCATTTAAAGTGTTCTCTAATTCTTACCGTTTCCGATATCCCAATGGTGGCCTCCTTGAGTTGATCACCCTGTATATGTATAAATGAATTTGAACGGATGGTCTTTTTGGCCTCCGGGGACCTCAAAACAAAAAAGGAAATCAGTCCCAGGCCCCAGGTCTTACCATATGAGACTTATGGTAATAGCTTATTTCCTGTGTGGGAAATACGCTAAAAGAAAACCAGCTGAGACATAACACTTGAGGTAGAATGATGAGTTCCTCCAAGAATCAATATGCAACCAATTTATGTATAAAAAAATTATAATATTATTTACACAAGTTTGTGTTTTTACCTTGGCAGGTTGTTTCTGTGTGTTGGTGCAAAGATGTACCATAGTTATACTGGGGTTCCTGGCTGGCAAACTCAGAACTAACCAATCACTTGTGACAATTCCGGACTGAACTACAGCAGGTCCCTGAAAAAAAATATATTTATTTTGCATCAATATTATAGCTATGGGTTTTATTAAATTGGTTCTTGCAACATTAGATTTTGATGTAGTCCCCCCCGCCACCCACACCATCAATGGTCCTTGGAAATAAAGAAACAGTAAGTAAGAGAATATTCTCTCAGAAAACATCATACAAATAAGCTAGCTAAGTTAGGAAGGTTTAGGCTGGACACTCTAAGGAAACGGTGGCTGACTAATACAGTGAGTCAAACTACATTCTGGCAACTCTTTAACCCCTTAACTGCAGCCAAAGTTAGCGTGCCGTGGTCCTTTGCTGCTGTTCTCTGTTCTCTCAAAACAGAACATAAAAGATCTGACACAAGAACACAATGAAGCTAAGCTGGATGAAAAAGAGGAAAATCTGGTTAGTACAAAGCCTGCTGTAGTCCAGACCCATCAATGTATCACTGGTCACAGTCCTTTCCTCTTAGCTGAACTTGCTCAAATTAAAATTAAACAAAATCAAATGGAACACGTAATTAACACCCTGAAAATACAGATGAACAAAGAGATGTCTAACACCATTTCTCCGATAACTCATACAAATCCTTCCACTCCAACATCAAGTTCATTAAAAAATAAAAGGTTTCAAAGAAATCATAATAGAACTAACATATTCAGCGTATCCCTGCAAAATGCAAAATACCTAGAACAAACAAATCACACACTTGCTATTGACTGCCAAGAAAGAACCAGCAAAACCTTCAAAAGCACAACGTGGAGAGCCAGACAAACTCCTACTAAAAAACTGCCAACCGAAACTACAACTGGGAGAGTCAGACAAACTCCTACTAAAAAACTGCCAACCGAAACTACAACAGGGAGAGTCAGACAAACTCCTACAGAAAAACTGCCATCTGAGACCTCAACAGAGCAAGTATCAACCGGGGGAACCAGCTAAACCCCGCCAGAAAAACTGTCACAAGTGTCACAAACAGTAAAAGCTCGAGAAAGCCTGAAAGAGACTAAAAATAAAAATAAACATCCACCCCTAAATGCTAAGCCAAAGAGCAAAGACGAGGATTACAATGAATTCTTTGTAAACAATATAGAATTTTATTCAGAACATATGAAGAAGCATTATGGATACGTAGTAAAAAGCGAGGTGGCATCGCTACAGGATAATAACTTTGTATTTTCCTCACCTTCTCAGATTATTCCAATGCAGCCTGATTTTACTTTAAGAAAACTGCAAACATCAGCAGAGACAAGACAAACGCAACCTGGCTGTTTTTTAGACAATCGAGTCAGGATGTAAACTCCAAATTCATCCTGCTGCACCAAAATACACAGGAAGTCTCAAATAAAATAAATAGACTACAGCACCTTTTAGAAGAAACCAAACCTGACATAGTAATTCTGACAGAACATGGACTGAAACCTGACACAATAAACAGCACCGTCATAGCTGCTGGATTCTACCTCAAGGCTCACTATAGTAGAATAGAACACAGAAAGGGAGGTGTATGCATTCTTGTAAAAGAAAGCCTTGAGAGTAGCACAGTAGGCATAGATGTTTCCGAGTACTGTGAAGAACTGTTATTTGAAGCAGCTCTTATAAAAATAAAATTCAAGGACTCAAACCTGTTTCTACTGGGAACCTACAGACCGCCAAACAGAGACCTTGAGGAATCATTAAACACCTTTACACAACTAAATGAGGAAACAAAAATTAAAAATTCTCTCATCATCATGTGAGATATTAATGTTGATTTGTGTAACCCTAACAGGAAACACATTATCTTAAATGAAACTCTTGCTATGCACAACATCCAGAGACTACAGCTTCCCCCTACAAGAATAACAAATCTAACACAAACCTCCATTGACTGGATATGTACAAATATGGATACAAACAAACTCACTCCAGAAGTCATCAGTTCAGGACTTTCTGACCATACTGCTCAACTCTGTACTGTAAACTTCAACTCACACATCAACTCAAGTTATCCAGCCCAAATTGGACGCTGCCTAAAATATAAAAACCTGCAAAACCTCAAGTATGTTCTCAGTCAAGAAAACTGGCTTAGTGTTACCTCAATAAACAATGCCGAAGAAGCTTTTAAAACTTTTAGTAACATAGTGAGAGTAGCTATGGATGCAGCCTGCCCCCAAAAGAAGATTAAAACACAAAGAAAACATAAACTCAAATTCTCTAAGGACCCAGAAGCAGTGAGACTCAAAGCCGAATTTCTTAAAGCTCTAAGAAAGTTTGAGGTGACGGGAAATCCAGATGACAGAAGGGTTTCAATTGAAAATAAAAAGAACTATGAAATGAAATGAAAAATCATTTATTTATACAGGCAAAGTTAGGGCCACATGGCCCTTTCTTACACTTAACCTGTACTTTAAAACATAATATAAATATTTTAACATAATCAGCTTATACAATAAAACAAATCAGAAATCTACAGAAACTCAGATACAGAAACTTTTATCAAAAATCAGTAAATTTTAAAAATACTTACACACACACACTCACTCACACATACATACAAGTCAGCGACCGCCATGCGCACAGGCCCCTACGACAAACCTACCATGGCCATACGTTCAAAATAGAGATTTTTTAGCGCTGCCACAAACCGGGAACGACTATCGAGGGATTTAATAGCTAAAGGAAGATCGTTCCAAAACTATGACCTGTACTTGAAAACGATGCGGAAAAAGGTTAACTCTGACCAGTTGATGAAAGCTGAAAATAAATCTAAAGCCTAATGTTATGTCAAACCTGAAGGGAGGGGGAAGTTTCTTATTGTGACAAATGGCGCTGCGTGTTTATTTTGAGCATGAGTCATGAAATGAAACCCACAGGCGCCGCGCCGTACGCTGCCGAGCATCAGCTTGCTACAAATCGAAACTGCAAATCAATGCCTTGAGTCCTTGAGTTGAAGTGCTGTATAAGTATACACATTTTTCAAGTGCTATTGGTACAAACAGAAAAAATGCCTTTGGTGTGGTGCTTTGGATACTTGAACTCTGAGCAAAAAAAACAAAAAAATTAAGTTGTTCACTTTTTCAGTAAAGTTGTTTCCAATTTTGTCTTCTAAAAAAAAAATTGTGTCCCACTTTTTCGTGGCGCCATATGCGACCGCGTAGTTCGCGTATGGGTTAAACCGGCACTGATCATACGAAACATCCGTTAATAATTTAACAGCTTATATTGTTATTTAATTGATTTTTCTTCAATTAAATGTTGTTAACAATTTGCATTTATGTTTAAAGTGTGTTAAAGTGTGTTTGAAGTGTGAGATTCTAATGTTTATGTGCTTAATCTGTACCAATTATATGAGTGAGTAAAGTGGTGTATGGATTCAAAACTAATTTTTTTACTATAGACCGTTGTATTCAACCACAACAGGCTCTGTTGCTAGTCATCAATAAATCTAAGTCAGTTCCCATCCTTACTGAAGATCTAAAAAGTATACCCTAACACAAAAAAGGCTCTGTAACAGATGTGGAAAACTACTGCCCTATTTCACTCATATCCATATTCTCCAAAATAATTGAAAAATTTTTTCTAACTCAACTAATGGGGTTTTTTTGTGGAAGAAAAACTCATCAGCCAAAACCAACATGGATTCATTAAGTGAAGGTCCACATCTAGTGCAGTTACAAATATTGTTGAGTTCATCATTGACCAGCTAGAAGAACGCAAACATGCCTCAGCAGTAATGATTGATTACAGCAAGGCATTTTATTGTCTGGGTCACAGCCATATCAAAAGAAAACTAGCATCCCTTGGAATTAAAGGCAGGGCGAATGCATGGTTTGCTATCTACCTTCAAGGACGAACGCAAGTTGTCAAAACTCAGGAATCATCCAATGGAATGAAGAAAAAATAAATATCAGAGCCACAGCCAGTTAAGAGAGTACTACAAGGGTCTGTGATGCTCGGCCCGGTCTTGTATGTTTTATTCACAAATGACTACCCTAGCATGATGAAATGAAATGAAATGAAAATCCTTCTTTATTGAGGCGAACTTAGGACCTCATGGTCCTTTCTTACAGTTAACCTCTAAATAATAATAGTAATAACAATAATACATTATATGAACAAAAGTAAAAATACACATTTCGTAACATAATTAATAATAAACAACATAACATACATTTCTTTTCCTAGCATACAGTCACACACACATACACTCTTTGCAGCAGCTAAGCCTAACGCACGCCATCCCGCCACGCCACTACCATCCGGTTGAGATAATATTCTTTCAGTGTCGCCTTCATTTGGGATCGGTTTTCTATGGATTTAATAGCATCGGGTATAGAGTTCCATAGGCGGCATGCTGTGACTACAAATGATTTATTATAAATAGTTGTTCTGTGACGAGGAATGCGCAACGTAGACGAGCCAGAGCGAGTATCCCTTGCACCTCTTTCATTCAAAAATTCAAAATTCTTTGTAATGTAATTTGGAATTCCAAGATTGATAGCCGAATGAGTGATTGAAAGTATTCGGAGTTTCTGAGGTCATCTAATTTCAAAATTGATTCATTTATGTAATAAGGTGTGACGTGGTCGTCCTGCCTAAGGTCAAACAGAAATCTAATACAATAATTTTGTGCACGTTGTAGTTTTGTTGCCAAAGCCACAGTCATATCATTAACCACAGTGTTGCAGTAACTGAAGTGTGGAAACACAAGTGATTTGACCAGTAAGAGTTTAATGTGAAAAGGAAGGAGTCGTTGCATCTTCTTCATTGTGTGAATGGCGGCAAATACTCTTTTACAAGTATCTACCACCGCGTCAGTCCAGTCTAATGTGCGGTTCATCAGCAATCCAAGACTTTTGATTTTGTTTTGATATTGCAAAGTAATTCCATTTACAGTGAGTTTTGGTAAATTGTCTTCTTCAAGTTTGTTTAGTAAACGTGAGTGACCTATAATGATTGGTTTTGTTTTGTCAGGATTGAGTCTAAGTCCATTCTGTGCTGCCCATTGAACAATGTTGTCAAT